GTGTGGTTGTAGGTGTACCTCCTTCTGAGTGTGACCTGTTCCTCGCCGTGTCTCCCATTGCCGGTTTTCCTCGCCTGGGATGACTCTAGTGCCATTTCCCCTTCGCATAGGAATTTTGGTCCTAGCTCCACTTCGTCTGTCTGGCGTGGATACTGAATGCGCGTCGGGGCCCATGTTCTAAGGTAGGTCTAAATAATCGGACCCTAATAACGACAGCTGAAAATCTCACCCGTTACGGTTTACCGGGCGTAAATGATCCGTGGAAACGGATCCTAATACTATTGACTGAAAATCTAACCCGTTTAATGATCCACGGAAACGGACCTTAATAATAGTGATAACTGAAAATCTAATCCGTTTAATGATCCATGGAAACGGACCTTAATTATAATAATACTAACGGAAACTCTAATCCGTTTAATGATTCATGGAAACGGATCTTAATAATCATAACTGAAAAATGTAACTCGTTTATTGATCCATGGGGACGGACCTTAATAATTATAACTGAAAAACGTAACTCGATAAACAAAATAGCGTCCATCTTACCTCAAGTCCTATTTCTAAATGTTGGCACGCAACTAACCATAACTTGTGCGACCCTGCGCTGGCTGCTTATTCACTATGAGAACTTAAACTATTTATTGCGTATAGTATCTTAACATAAGTCCAAACTCTATGGTCTCGGTCCAGTCCGCTTCGTACGATTTGGCCGAGTCCCTCGGTCGGTCGTAGTAGTACCTTCAACTTAATGCGGGGTCTACAATAGAAGTCATAGCGGTCGTAGGGTCTTAAGTCGTAGAAAATTGACCAATCACAGTTGATTATTCTTCTCATATTCGACTGTGATTGGTCAATTTCCTACGACTTAAGGGGAGATATACACCTAGGAACCGGAAAAAAAGGTCATTTTTGTGAATTTTTTTAAGGAAAACTATTTGAAATTTCGAATTGGGAGTTTTTCTATCTAAAAGTATACACATTCAAGAATGTTTTTATTTAAAAAAATCAAAAATTGACGAGGTTGTATAATCTTCGGAGCGCCGTAAAAAAAATCCGGGTAAACGGTACTGGCGTTTCTTCAAAAATCATCTGAAACAAAAAAACCAAAAAGATTATTAAATTAGATACTGTAATCTAGTACTTGTCATAGCCGATTTTGAAAATATCGATTTATGACAAAATGGCGGACGTTTGAACATAACATAGCGATTTTTCGACCAAAAATTAGTTATTATTTTGCCTATAAAACAAAAACTAAGCAACGGAAAAAAAATCCTATGACAAATACTAGATAATAATGTATAGAATAACCACAAAAAAATTCAAGGCAATCGGTTCATTGGTTTTCGAGAAATTTTGGGTACCGATTTGAAAAACGTGGTTTCGAGAAAAACGCGTTTGAAAATTTGGGAATAAATAAATCATGAAATTTGTCAACTTACATGGAATCATCGATACCAGGCCCATAATGTAAATCTTCTACGGTCGACGGAATGTTCATGTCTTCTAAATTTTGTTGTCGGCGCCGTATTCGACCTTCTTTCGTCTGTTCTTGCGCTTGCAGCTCGGCTTTCGTTATGCGAGTTTCGTCTTCTTGCGCAGCGTACATACAAGTGCGCGCCCGATCCGACCGATATTCCTAACACGTTCATGACTTCTAACAATGACGTGACACCATTGTTGAACGTGCATGTTGCAAGAAATGCAGCAATGTTAACGATTTTGACCCCACTGTGCATCGTTTTTGGAGCTATCTTCCAAATAAGTTGGTTGAAGCTCTCATTGCTGTTTTGTGTGTATCCGCCAACACAGCGTTCCAACAATTTGTCATTGCTGAGGTCTTCGTAAATTGGTTTGATGGCATCTAACACCGTTTTTGGCAATGCTGAATAATCGTGACGGAAATTCCTCAGTCCTCCTTTAGCTTTCGCTTGTTGCCACTTACACCACGATTCGGGGCCTTCGGGACAAAAATGATGTTCAGGCTTGTTGTCTGTTGAGCCGTAATGGTAGAATGTTGCTCATATCGCTTTTTTCATGTCATCCTTGGAGTTACTGTTTCTTCGAATGGCTAAGCCATAGTAAATGCTCAGTTTGTCTACAAATTTTGCCGTCAATTTGTTTTTGCCGCCGATTCCAGAATTTTTTTTCTTGCATTCGCGAAGACGGGTTCCCATTCGCTTTTGAACGTGTCCCACGCATTCTTTTTTTATAATCTCAATCTCATCACCATACGATTTCGCATTCACTACGATTGTGCGTCGAGGCCGTCGCAAGCGCGCGCCACGGTACACAGAGGCTAACGGACCTAGCGCCGTCACCGGGCCTGGCCCGCTGTTGGTCGTACGGGTTAACCTTCGACTGGCCTGCGAACGTTCCCCGCCTCGCGCGGGGAACCGATACCGGTCGGCGACGCTACTGCTTTGGGTACTCTTATCCCGTGTACGTCTTAGAGTCGCCATCCCCGATGTAATTAATGTACATAACTCTATGCTTTTCGACAGATCTTGAAAATAATTCCTTCGTGACGTCTACTTCCATTTTGCCTGCCGATCTGACATGATTCGCCTGGCAATTTTCTTCGTGATTAGATTTCCATTCCTGATATTGCTCGGTATTGGCGTGTTTATTCCAATAGTTACATTCAGCACAATAAGCAGACTTTACAATAAAATCAATGACTTTTCCTGTCAACTGACCAATGAGAACTGCAACTCCATATAATGAGGTAAAACCACGTTTTCGCCACGTACCATCTCCTGAAACGGTCAGTTTTTTTTATATCATCACTCGAATTTTGTTTTGTTATTTCCTGTTGTTCTTCTTTTACAGCTTGTTTTAACACCAATTGAACAATACTTGAAGCAGCAGAATGAATGTTGTCAATTATCATATCATACGTCGTTTGTTGAACCGTAGGCGGTAAATCTATGAGGCCACAAAATTTCATAGCTCCACGCAAACCAATCCCCAATAAACGCATAACAAAAAAGAATCGTGTATTTATTTCGTAAGCTGTCTTGATGTACGAGCACGAAGGAATGAAAGTCGGTTTGCACGATGAACACGAAACTACAATTTTAAAACCGAGTCCTCGAGTGCTTTCTATTGAGAATCGAACATCACTATCACACTTTTTGCATTTTATACATTCCGATAAGACAGAAAATACTGTCAGAAAATTCAAAATTCGATACCCGATGTTTGGATCTTCTGGTACGGATGTCTCACGATCAGTCTTCAATTTTTTGGCACTGGAACTAATATTCTCGTTGGAAAGTTCTACTTTTTCGGCAGTATGTCGATTTTTGGGCGGTATTTTCTTCTTGTTTCGATCTTTGCGAAAAGATCCGGATGAGCTTCCCGAGAACCTTTATATCTGTTATCCATTTTCCTCAGAATATTTATTCACAGACGAAAACTCACTATAACGCACAGTTGCACGAACGGCAAGCTACTGACGAAACGCGTCCAATTTCTGGCAAAGAATAACGGTCGTGAGATATTTCCGTTATACCTGGACCCGAGCACGCCCGAAAACACAATAGAATCGTAAAACAGGTCTAGACACGCTCTCTTCGAAGGGTCGCTTGCCGCTCCCTGCCTCTCGGCTCGGCCGCAAAACAGGCGGCATGGCGCGCTCTCGGAGACGGTTCACTCTCTCGGCTGTAACTTCGTTATTTATCGAGATATTGACTTGCAATTTTCACCAGATATTCTTGAGACCTCAAGCTTCAAGAAAATGCAAAAAAAATCGATTTTTTCGACCATGCTAGTGCATGTATATTTCCCCTTAAGACCCTACGACTGCTACGACCAAGAAGACTAGAACTAAGGAGGATCAACTCGTGTGGTAGGGGTGAGTCAAAAAACGTCCGCAGTTATTCACATACAGCGGCACTGCACATTGTGTGAAAGTTCGATATAAGAGCGACAAAGTGACGATTATAGAACGACAGAGCGACGACTATATAGAGCGACAGAGAGGACTAATGAAGCGCAAGAGTGGGGGAAGTTATCCGTCGCCACTTTTTGCCTCACCCCCACTACCGCTATTGGCACGAGTTGATCCTCCTTATTTCTAGTCTTCTTGGCTACGACTTCTATTGTAGACCCCGCATAACCTCTAGAATCTAACACATGATCCTCAGAGAGAGGGAGGGAGGGGAGAGAGAGAGAGAGAGTATAGATGCTTTGGCTGCATTCGGAAACGTCGCTCGGAGGCATCCAATCAGCAAGCGAATTTCGTTTGCGCTTCTCTTATAATATAGAACTTTAGTTTTCATTTGCATTGGGTAAAAGGCAAAGAAACTTTGGAAAGATGGCATACTAGAGTTACATTACGAAATTTAAATGTTGGGCTATGTAAGTGTTGTGACTATAGCATTACTGCACTGATTTGCTACCTGTTTCTTACTTTATTATCAAATTCGTAAGCATATCATAATATTTTAGATATTTCACAGGTTTACTTATTTATTTTACTTGTTTATTTATTTTACAATGTTAATTTGTTTTTAATTATTTATTTTTAATCCTGTGTGAACATAAGTTGTAAATCAAACCTATTGAAGATTTTATTTATGAATAAAATTCATTTTCTATCAACTCATTAAACAAGAAAGCACAAATAAATGAATTTCAATATTTTATTATATCCGTAAATTTTTGTGTCTTTTATTTCTGTGTATGCTGTGTAAATATATTGTTAAGAATTACAGCAGCGTTTTTCTTCTTGATGATATTGGAAGGTATTCTTCCACTCGATAAATTTAGAGTGTGGTTTAAAGTTTCGTAAAATAACTATTAAGTATATCTCTTAAAAAATGGAAAGATTATGTATAAAGAGTCTATATATTTTTTCCATTTAATCAGTAAATAAACTTCATTATAAGCATAACTAAAATTGTATAATATATTTTAGAGTATAAGAATATTACCTCTATTTTCTAAATACATTTGTATGTAATTGCCCCCCCCCATCTCTCCCTCCATCTCATCATATATGTACATATACGAATAATATAATGAATGTATATTGTACATTCACATATATAAGAACATGAGTTTACAAAACTTATCCTAAGGAGACAATTTATAAATTGGATCGATAATTGTATATAAACCAATTAATGAAGAAATTATTCCAAGTAAACCTATTGTACCTGGAGTACATTTTGTAACACCTAATGCTGTTAGTGGAATTAATAAATCACATCCATTTTTAACAGTATCCATCATTACTTCCTTGTGATTTTTTAAACAGGATAATATATGATATTGTTTAAATGCATTCTTCTTGTGTTCCAAAATCTTGATAATCTCATAAATATCTCTTATTAAACTCATAACAATAGTTAGTAACCAATATTTATTAGCGACTTTATTCCATTTTTCTAAATCAACTCGTAAAATTCCTACTCTGCCAACCCAGATAAAATGATCTGCCAGTAAGTACAAAGCATTTGCCATCTTTGCCATGGTTAATGTTATTCTCACCGTAGGATCAGGATACTTCATCATTTTTAAGGCCAAATAGAAGCTATCTAAGCATCTTCCAAAGCGCAGCACTAGAAAGAAAAAATATATAACATTTATATGTCAGCTATAAAAACATGTTTCTACAAACCAGAAAGTTATAATTACATTTTCGAAATGAGCTAAAAGTGAATTCCAAACTCCTTAAAATTTCTGCGGAGTATCTTGTACTGTGTACACTTTGTGCATAGTACCAATACGTTCGACTTCCATATTGAAGTAATCTGCAAGCAAAATAATTTTTGATATTATTTCTAATGATATTGCTAAATAAAGCATAGTACTTCATAATTTATATAACTTTAATGTACCAATGTGATAAATTTTTTTCAATATAAATTGCAAATTCTTAACATTTTTTTCTTAATAGAAACGTTTAAATACATATAATCTTCTGGTTATAAATAATATGGAGAAGAATGAAAGCTTTTTACAATCTAAAATGGATACGTAAATAATAATATATAAGAAAATTATATATTATTACTTATGTATCCATTTTAGATTGTAAAAAAGCTTTAACTTCTTGGTAATTATTTATAGAATATGGATCCTCCTCTAGAATCTTAATAAAAATGTACTCATTCGATGCATTTTTCACTCAAAACGAAAGAATCTGGCAAAAAAACGCAGCAGTCGGAATTGAGCCTCATGAATTGAGTTATTAAAGTCTATTCTACAATGTACTCTTTGTTTCCTGTTTCTTGCTTTTTACCTTTTGCTTTTTTCGTCTTTGTGATCGTTTTATTGACAATTATATTTCTTGGTATGTGTTTTCTATTTCTTCTGAAGTTCGTTAACGTTTATCTCAAGCAACAGAAAACGAAAAATGGAATAAGAGGCAAAAAGATAAAATACAAAAAATAGCAAAAAGCAAGAAACAGGAAACAAAAAGCACATTGTAAAATAGGCTTAAGCGTTAAAATTCGCGACGTTAGAGATTAAGATACCTGTCTTCTCCACTCGATACAGCACTATGTATACATTCTGCATTAATTACACAAATTCTCTATTTCACAAACACAAATTCACCGCTTTAAAAACAAATTCAATGTTTTAAAAACACAAATTCACTGCTTTAAAAATAAAAATTCACTGCTTTAAAAATAAAAATTCACTGCTTTACAAACACAAATTCATTACTATAAAAACACAAAATCACTGCTTTAAAAATACAAATTCACTGCTTTAAAAACATGAATTCACTGCTAATGCAAAGAATCCGTATAACAAATCTTTGCTTTCTCTGCTGAACGCAGCCATTAATTCGCGTGATTAGAAAATGATAAGTATATATTCATTAACGGAATTCAGGCGCAGAAGACGTCGCGCAAATAATATAATGTAAAGAATTTGTGTGCTTAGAACAATAAATTTTTGTTTTTAAAGCAGTGAATTTGTGTTTGTAAAGCAGTAAATTTGTTTTAAAGCAGAGAATTTGTGTAACCCTCTATGTCACTGATGTAACAGATTTCCTAACCTGAATATCTGTCAACTTTAATATTTAATATCTCGGTTCGCGAGAGAGAGCGACACTTTTTTGTCAGATTCGTCCATTTCATGCAAAAACATGCCAAATGAGAATAATTTTATCAAGATCGGAGGTGAAGCCTCTAAACTCAATAATTACCAAAAATTGTATTAGTTTGAAATTAAGATGATTAAAGAGCATAATGCTCAGCATAATGTAAACAGCGAGTAATATACATTGATGTACAAGTGAATGAAAGAAATAAAGGATTTCATCATCGTATAATATGACACACCTTATTATTTTATCCCTCCCTGCCGTTTGCTCGTTCAACTTTACAAAGATATCCATAGTTTCTTTCAAACAAAAGAATCTTACTTTAATTCACAATTGTGTAACTAACAAAAACAAAGAGATAAATTATTTTAATATATACTGGGGAAAATCATTCATGTTCAAAACGGTAGTTTAGACGGTCTTACAAGATAAATATCTAAAGTAAATTTCTTATCGCTCTTTTACGTGTTTTGCATTAAAGTCATAACTGCATATCTTTCACGATCGCTTTCCATTATCACGAGCTAACAACAGTTATATTGGACTTTGCACTTTGGAAGAAATTACAAAAAAAAAGAACAAGCAGTGACGTAACTACTGAGAGGTTATGAACCATTTTATATTCGGTAATTATTTCTTACTCTTACTTCTTAAACCAAGCTTACTTCGCATATTGTAGACGACGCTTAATTAAGACGTAAGACCGCCATCTTTCATATGTATAGATATACTGGCAATGTTAATTGCCTACTTCGTACGTCTAAGGGCGAAATCACGATAGAAGGAATAAGGAATTAGGAATTAGGAATAAGGAATAAAGATTTCAACCTATCAGATATCGGATACACTGGCATACACGGTTTCTGATAGGTTGCAATCGTTATTTCTTATTCCTAATTCCTTATTCCTTCTATTGTAGCTGTATCTTATTGGTTCTTGCACACTGGACGCGGAAACGCTTGCCGCGCGGCAAAACGTGATGCGGTAGCTAATAAGCTTACAGCTTCTAAAATGTTCATTGGTTACCGCGTCGCATTTTGCCGTGCGGTAAGCTTTTCCGCGTCCAGTGTGCAGGAGCCATAAGGCGTTGTCTACAATGTGAAGTAAGCTTGGTTTAAGAAGTTCACCTCTATCCATATATTTAGTCATTTATTTAAATTGATCACACTTGTAAACCTTCCATCAATTTAAAGGGAACCATATACATTAAAGGGGTTGGTTTATAATAGGCCATAATTTGTTAACTTTTTCCGTAATCTATATAAGAATTGACCATTCGTATGTACATGATCGGACAAAACCTCCGGTTGTTACAATTATTATTTTAAATCGTTTGTATTTCGTATGAAGAATTTTGAAGTGCAAATAAAAAGGTTTGTGAATCATTCTATTAATCATTCTTTTTTGGACAATGTACTTGACCGAAATAATTAACCGGCTCTATTATAAATTCAACAAAGTTTATACATGGAATCGTTTGTATTTCGTATGAAGAGTTATGAAGGCTCTGTTCCAAAATTGTTTGCCAGCGCTGGCAGCACTGTCAACACCGTTCCAAAAATCATCGTAGCACGCTGTGGCAGTGCTGCGAGAGAGTAAAGACGTCACTAATTTTGTCGTCATTTCCTGCTGCGGCTGCTGTGGCTGAAGAGGTGAGGCAGTTACAGCACAAAGATGGCGAAAAAGATGGAGGAGTTAATTTTAATTGATGCTGAGAGTAATACTGAATTTAAAATAAATATTTCGGTAGAAGATGCTGAGAAAGCAAGAAGTAGTGAGTAGATTTATAATTTTTTTGTAGTCAGCTTTTTGTGGTCACATTTATTTATTCATACTTCGAATAATTATATATAATTTCGGCTAATTCTGAATCCGAATCACTAGACTCTTCATCACTAGAATAGAATGCTAATTTTATAATGGTTTCAAATAAAAATTTTTTCTGTATGATTCTCTCCATACTTCTAGGTTATTTGTTTCTTTTCGCTGAAGTCGCTATACGTTAACAGCACTCAAAATATCGTTCCAAAATGAAAGCTGCGTTTGCATGAAAAGCATGCTTACTAAAATTGGAACGCTACTGGTAGCATGCACTTATGACGACATACACGCAGCACTGGCAATCAATTTTAGAACACAGCCGAAGTACCATATTAAAAACATTTGTGAGTCATCGAGACATTTTTAATTAAATATTAAGATATCATGTATTTGACCGAAATATAGATACAGGCCCGTATTCAGAACGCGCTTTTATCAATAAAAGAGCGCTTTTATCTCTGAAATTCTATAATATGCGTGACGTAAAGTATAGTATGTTAGCGCGCTAACATCATTGTAAGTGCGTTCTGAATACGGGCCACAGGCGCTACGGTCACGGAAATTCCGTTAGATGCGATAGATAGTCTCTCTAGTATTTCGATATTCTTGGTTCTTTTTCGATGACATGACAGTCATAATCAAGAAGACTAGAACTAAGGAGGATCAACTCGCGTGGTGGGGGTGAGTCAAAAAACGTCCGCGGCTATTCACACGATGTGCAGCGGCACTGCGCATTGTGTGAAAGTTCGATATAAGAGCGACAAAGTGACGATTATAGAACGATAGAGCGACAACTATATAGAGCGACAGAGAGGACTAATGAAGCGCAAGAGTTATCCAGGGGGAAGTTATCCGTCGCCACTTTTTGCCTCACCCCCACTATCGCTATTGGCACGAGTTGATCCTCCTTAGTTCTAGTCTTCTTGGTCATAATAATATAATATTGATATAAATTAAATAAATATGTTCAAATTTGTTTCAATGCTATCTCCACAGGAGAATATGTTTCAAGAGATTGGATATCAACATATATAAAGGTTGACGTTGCACATCTAATCCATATGGTTTGTCGATGGCCTGCTTTAAAAAATCATCCTTTGCGTCTTGTACGCGACTTCTATATTCGATGTATCGCTTTAATGATAAACTGCCAAATTTATCAGGATTTTATTGAAATATTTTCATTGACTTGTATTGTTGCCCTTCAATATTACGAAGATTCAACCGTAAATGTAAAATGGATAGATTAACAAATAAAAACAGCTGAACAATCACGGAAAAAATTGGAGATGTTAATAAAAGAGCATCCTACTGATATAGATAATTATTTTCAAATTACTAATTTTAGTAATGATTTATTAAATGATGACGTATATGAAATACTTGATACGGGTACTAACTAGTAACTTTCTATTAAATTATTTTAATTTCAGTGATGTATTCAAAGAATGATGTACTAAATTGATACAGGATGCATCAAAATGATTAATTAAATGCATATATTATATATATGTTTTCACGTATCGCCGAAATTAAAATAACTCAATAGAAAGTTACCAGTTAGTATCATTGCTTGCTTTCCTGCAAGGTCATAGTCAGACACTGTGTAACACAGTGAGTCGTTTTAGCCTTGTTGTTTGCCAACGTTAAACAAGGACTCACTGTGTTACACAGTGTCTGACTGTGTCCTTGCTGGAAAGCAAGCTATATCAAGTGTACGCGCGATGTAACTAGGCCTATGACTGTACACATTATAATTATATATCGATTATCCAATCGGTTTTGTTATTGTTAACAATATCTTTTACATACAATACGTAATATATAATGTGTCTGCTAACAATATCAATATTTCAAAAAAGCTTATCAGAAATAAAAATAAAATTAGGTGAAAAGCAGACAAGACAAAGAATATGCTATAAGTATTTGTGGTTTTTGAAGTGCAAATAAAAAGGTTTGTGAATCATTCTTATAAGTATTTGTGGTGGAGAGAAATATTGCAACGGTTCTGCCATATATGGTATCATGAATATAATGGTTTGACAATGGTTATCTAATCTAATTGTAAGGCGCATAGACATTATGTTACATTTAAAATTATACAATAATACATTTTTTAAATAATTATTTATGAAGTATCGTGTGACTTAGTGTATACAATATAAATCAAGTACATTATCAACACATACATTATATGTTATATATAAAATTATACAATAAAAATGTATTTTTTTAATAATTATTTATGAAATATTGTGTGACTTACTGTACACAATATCAATCAAATACATTATCGTACAATCATATACATTATCAATCAAATTTAGTCTTTCAAAAAGTATACACTGTGACGTTTTTCGTTTCATACTTCGAATAATTATATATAATTTCTGAATCCGAATCACTAAACTCTTCATCACTAGAATATATTTAGTCTTTCAAAAAGTATACACTGTGACGTTTTTCGCCGTCCGTCACAAGGGTCGTTCGACCTGACCGAAGTAGCGCGGCAAATTTGTCCTGTGTCCTCCCGACGCGGAGGGCGGGCGTGCCGACGCTTGTTGCGATTTTCGAGCGAGAATTCGGAGATTTTTGTCGTCGCGTTTCGCGTAACGTTGCTATTTCTTTTTGTGAATTTGAGAATTTTTAGTATCGGCGGCTGCGGTAGGTAATTTAATGTGCGACACATTCCACCACCTCAAGGAGGCGGCCAAGAAGGAGACTATATTGGAGGCCCGAGGCCACCCAGAGGAGGGGTAGTGCACAGGTGATACCGTTCCATACTATCGAATTAACGCCCTGAGCATAACTGTTTTCCTGTAGCCGAACTCTTTACAGGCGATTATGCCGCGGGAGCAACTAAGGCGGTATGAGGGGATGGTCACCCTCTGCCATAGTACGAGCGAGGGACCCCGCTGTCGGTGCCGCAAGGAAGTCTCTGCCGAGAGGAGACACCGAATCCGGACGACACGCCGGCAAAAGTAATCCAGAGGAGACCGTTGCGAGCAGCCGAAACGACGCTAGCATTGAGTCGAATCCCGCGCGCTCAAGGATTTAGGGCGCGCGACACAATAGCAAATCGCGAGGACTCGCGGAAGCTCGCGAAATGGCCCGCGGCCAATCAGGGCCGATAAGGCTTATCACGTGGACCCACGGTCGCCTGCGCGCCCCCGAAGGGATAACGGGCCCGACACTTGCGCTGTGGACTAGAGATGGGAAAAACAGTTCTTTTTAGTGAATTAGTTAATACGAACTAGTTCACTGAAAAGATCCGTTCATCAAAACAGTTCGCCGCGAACTACTCGCCCAAAATATTCCACATGCGTTGTATTACTATTGGGCACGCATTAATGGCTCGAGCTAGAGTTCTAGAACTATTAGAGAAGTGCGACCAGTGTTAAGCGTCCTGATTGGCCATTGTAATGGCCAGTCATGAGACTTAGACGGGGAGCACAGACTCTTGCATAATGCATAACACATAATGCATAAGAAAATGAACCAATTAAAATCCTTCATTTCCTTCCTTTCCGTGAAATGAAGAACTTTGATTGGTTCATTTTCTTATGTATTATGCGTTATGCGTTATGCAAGAGTCTGTGTCTGAGCCTTTATTCCTTGGTATTACAATTAAATGATTTCGGACGCACAGATTTTCAGCACTGGCAGTGAATTTCGGAACGCACTCTATTCTATGTCTAATATCTATAGACGCATGCTCAATTGCTCATGCTTGTATGTGTCTATGGCTGCGTTCAGCAGAACGTTTGTTTTGCAACTGTTGTAAGTTTCCTTCGCGCTAATTGGATCATACTTTTAGATCTAGAAGAATGGTCCTATCTCAGCAGACAATCATAAAACGGTTGCAAAACTGTTGAGTCTGCTGAACGCAGCCATTGTGTCGCTACCGGTCTCGATAGATCGTCGATTGGTGGCGCTAGTCGCGATCTTGTAAACGTCCCAAAATTGGCATATCTATTATCTGGCAATATTTGCACTTGACGCTTCCATGTAAAGGCACCTTTAGACTCTTCATTTATTTGTTTATTAAACCAAAATATTAACAAAGGTCATTCATCTACTTGTTAGTTTACTTTCTATGTGCTTCTTTGTCTGTACTGTTAGCGTTTTTTAATCTTTATTGTTATCCAGGACTGAGTTGTTCCACCTTTCGGTAAGCTTCAGCTCACTGTTTTACTCTTTTAAGTTCGGAAACCTCACCCAAGTATCCCCGTGTATCGTCTTATTCTTGTTGTTCACCCTTGTTAAACAAGGATAAGACGATGCACGGGGGCATCATTCAGGTGATGTTTCTGAATGCAACCTTACTCTCTTATGTTCTTACTTTTTTATTCTTTTATTTATCCAATAGGTAAATTATCACATAGTTTATTCGAAAATAGAACAGCCGATCCTAAGTGAAGCTAGATTTGTATTAGAGTATACAATTAAAATGAATCGTAAACGGAGTCCATCATGGGATCGTTTCAAAGTTATGGAAGATAATAAAGCTAAGTGCAAATACTGTAGTCAGCATGTCAGTGTTGCTGGTGGTTCTATTGGAAATTTGATAAGACACTTGAAAACCAAACATCCCACATTAAATTTGAATAACGAGAAAACTGATCAAGTTAATAATAAGGACGTCAAAATTAATGAAAATGTCAATGACGATGATGATGATGATACAGTGTCTAGTTCTGGTTCTGACATTCAAGGAGTAACCAATTCGAATATTACTGCGACTTCGAACAAAACAAACACACAATTAAATATTACAAATTTCTTTGTCCAATCTGTTGCTTTATGTAAATCGAAACGGTTCGATGCACAATTGATAAAAATGATTGTAAAAGAGTACCATCCTTTTTCAATCGTGGAAAACTCTGAATTTGTCAAATTTGTTAAATTGCTTTGTCCAGGTTATTCTCTACCAACACGAAAAACTGTATCCAATAATTTATTACAGCAATTATATTTGTCAACTTTGGGAGAAGTTAAAATAGACTTGAAAAAAGCTAGTGCAGTTTGTCTTACAACAGACTCTTGGACATCTGTAAACAACGAAAGTTTTACCGCTATAACAGCTCATTATTTGGATTCTAAATTTCAATTGAAGTCAATATTATTAGAATGTTTATCATTTCACAGTAGGCACACAGCAGAAAATATATCAAGGTGTTTAAAAGATTGTGTACAAAATTTTAATTTAGAAGATAAAATCATTTGTTGTGTTACTGATAATGCAGCTAACGAAGTTGCCGCTATTCGACTTTGTAATTGGCGCCATTTACCATGTTTCGTACACTCGTTAAATCTTGTAGTACAGCAGAGTTTGAAAGAGATTTCAAATGTAACAGTAAAAGTTAAATCTATAGTTGAATACTTCGAACGAAGTTCTTATGCTCTTTCAAAATTACAATCAATGCAAGAACAGATGAAGTTACCAAAATTGAAACTCAAGCAGGATGTCATAACTCGATGGAATTCCACATACGACATGCTAAATAGAATTCTACAAATCAAAGATTCCGTTGTTTCCACAATAGCAGTTTTACAATGTGATGTACCATTGTTAACAAGTCAAGAATGGAACATTATCGAAAAGAGCGTGGAAATACTTAAGATTTTTAATGATTTTACGATAGAAATGAGTGCAGAAAAAAACATTACAATATCCAAAATTATACCTCTCGTTAATATCATGAATAAAAAAATTAATGATTACTATAATGATGGACCAACATCAATCGAAGTAATGCAAATGGTGAAGAGTTTGAAGGACTTATTGAGTCATCGTTTCAAATATGCAGAAGACAATGAATTGTTGTGTCAAGCTACTATTCTTGACTCAAGATTTAAAAACCATGGATTTTCTAACGAAACAAAATTTTCTTCCGCTTATGAAGCACTAAAATTAAAAGTTCGTGCTGTAAAGTTGAATGAGCTTCAGTCTACTAATAATAACAATACACTCATCGAGTCTCAACCGACAAATTTAAGTTTATGGGAGGATTTTGATAGGAAAGTTAAACGAATTTGCGGTGCAAATAATCCTATGGCATCAGCAATTATCGAGATGGACAAATACCTCCAAGAGCCACTTTTGTGTCGCACAGAAGATCCATTAATATGGTGAAAAGAAAGAAAAATGGTGTACCTTCGTCTTTTTCAAATAGTCACAAAAAGATTATGTATAGTAGCAACATCTGTTCCATGTGAACGAACATTTTCTAAAACTGGTCAAGTATAATACAATACTTACGCAAAGACGAAACAGGTTAACTTCATCTAAAGTTAATAAAATTATGTTTCTTAATCATAATTTATAAGTTTACATTTTTTGTTCGCAAAAAGTATTTCATTGCGATAATATTTGTTTTCTTTTTACTAGAAGGATTATATGTTTCATTTTCGTTTTGATTTTTTTTTAAAGTTTACTAAAATTATATGTATTTTAACTATACATCGTATAATATTTTATTTTTCACAAGTAAAACAAATTAATTTTATTTTGCTTTTAGGTATCTAAGATTTTTAGATATGTAGGTTTCTTTTTAATTGAAAGAATATATTATATTGTATTATTGTTTTATTTTTGTTTTGACTTTATCTAGTCTACTACAAATATATTTTCTTAATTATAGATTTCTTAGCTGTAGATTACAATGTTATATTTTTTGCAGATACAAAGAACTAATTTTATGTATTTTGTTTTTAGATATTTAAATTTTCGTTTTTTCAATTGAAAGATTGTAATATTCTATTTCTGTTTTTATGTTTATTTTAATGTAAATGTAATAAATGCAGTAACAAAAATGTTTTTTCCCTTGATTGTAATATTAATAATAATTATTTGTTTTTACTGATACAAATTTATTTAATACATTATGGCTGTGTTCTAAAATTAACTGCCAGTACTGAAAATAGTGCACGTAACGTAAACTGTAGCATTTTCGGTACTGAGATTTCTTGAAAAATATAGTTGCCAGTTTGGCATTTGTCGTTGGTCGATAAAGTAGTTCAATTTGACCTATTTAGTTTGAGAATTGTGAACTAGTTCATCTAGTTCACGTAAAAGATTCGTTCATTTGAACCGTTCGTTCGCGAATTACCCATCTCTAGTCGACTTTAAGTAGACTTGTCAAAAAGCCTGTACAAAATATTCGTGAGATGTTGCTGCGTACCCGCACGTGATTGCGCACGATGCAGCATACAACAGGGCTGCGTTCCACTTATCGCTCACACGCTCGTGAAATAATTTCATCCTTGTCGTTTATCAAATATTAAACAAGGACAAACGATGCTCGCGAGCGTTGCGAGCGTTAAATGGAACGCGGCCCAGAATAAACGACGACTGCAGAAATAGCGGGAGACAATATTTGTTAAAGATTTGGAAACGAAGTGGAGTGCAACTATGGTAATGTATTTTTGTGTAAAATCATTTATGTATTTAATTATTAATTAAAGACATTTTAAAATTGGAATAACGCGCATATAGTCAGAGCCGGATTTTGTAGGTTAATTATTTATTGAGCGTTTATGATTAGATAATTAGAAAACCTGAAAATGCCCAAACCATTTTCGAGTTGTCGAAACGTCAACGAAATCGGCGAACTTTACTTTATTACAATTCAGATCGTGAAGTAACCTCTCAGCCGGTTTCATTTCCAAATGTTGACGGTAATCCAATCGACGGTCCATCATGTTCATTGGCCTTTGAATTTGAAGAGCCTGAGATTGAAGATGGCATGATGGAGATCAATCATTCGCAATATTCAGCTTTATCAGATAATTCGAATTATTCACATTTATCAGAAACTGATATTAGTTACAACGACAATGCCAGTAGGGTATTTTCATCATCAGAAACAAGTGACGAATTTCAAATCAATCCGCAATTTAGCAGGAAAATATACATTTGCCTTTGACAGATGAACTGTGCAATTGGGCAAATGAATTTCAAATTAATCAAAATGCATTAACCTCATTATTACGAGTTCTTTCAAGACACGGGTATGATTTGAACACTTTTGAATATTCCAAAACCAGGTACTCATGATATTAAAACTCTTTCCAAAGGTCAGTACGTTCACTACGGTTTATTAAAAGCGCTTATATCAATCGGTAATCGTTTTCCTCATGCTTTCGACTATTGTGATATAATTTATTTGGACTTAAACATTGATGGCTTACCAATTTCGAAAAGCTCAAAGAGTCAGCTTTGGCCGATTTTAGGCAGAATTTCTGGTTTGCCATTTGCACTATTTGTCATCGGTATTTATCATGGCTCCCAGAAAGCTTGCTTAGCCGAATTTCTTCAACTATTTGTCGATGAATATCTAAATTTAAAAAACAATGGATTCTCAATCAACAAACAGCCCCTGCAAATCAATATCCGTACTGTTATCTGTGATTCTCCTGCTCGAGCATATGTTACTTGCACAAAATCGCATAATGGACACTGCCTGTGGAAAATACATTGTAAGGGGCGAAACAATAAACAGATGAATGACTTTTTTGGATACCACTTCGGACCGATATTGATTTCATTAACAAGTCGCAACCGGACCATCATCTTCAAGGTATTTTTTCGCCATTTGAATTGATTTCAATTCCAATGGTAAGTCATTTTTCTAGACTACATGCATAATTCCTGTTTTATAAACAAGCAACTTCTAAAGTTGTGGATAGATAGGTCGAAAACTTCCAGAGTAGCCCAAGTTCATCTTAATATTTTGTCAGATGCACTGACAAATGTGTCAAAGTGTATTCCAACAGAGTTTGCGCGAAAATCTTTTGACTTGGATGATTATCACAGATGGAAAGCGACTCAACATCGCACTTTTCTTCTTTATTTAGGACCACTAGTTCTTAGACATATACTGCCGGATGAAAAATATATACATTTTAATGCCCTGAATTGTGCAATGAGAATTTTATGTAGCGTTGACGATTATGACAGGAACAATGAATATGCACATTATTTTCTGGTATATTTTGTTCAAAACGTGAGCATTCTGTATGGGCCACAGAATGTTACCTACAACATGCACAATTTAATACATTTAGCTGCTGATGCAAAAAGATTAGGACCACTAGATTCTTTTAGTGCTTTCCCATTTGAGAATTTCCTTTTTATTCTGAAAAAACTTCTTAGAAAGTTTGATAAACCATTGCAACAGATCTGTAACAGATTACACGAACAATCCTTATTATTTCGTGCTGAAAATGAACGATTTTATGATCATCAGTATCCACAGTTGCAGAAAAAGATCAATCAAAACTTACCATTGGATTGCTGTAACGCACACAATCAGATAAAATTTTCTTCGTTTGTCTTGACAACGAAAAAATATAATAATTGCTGCTACATTGAAGAAAACAATGCCATAAGCATTGTTTGTATTTCCCATATTGGTTATTATCATGAAATTCCAACGATTATTGGTCAAAAGTTTACGAATATTTCAACGTTACTTAATTATCCCTGCGATTCAGGAAATTTAGAAATCGCATTGTTACAGGCTTATCAGACTTGCAAATGTGGCCAGTTTTTTAAATTAAAAATAAAGCATTTCAAATGGATTTTGTAAATGACTCAATATATTTTGTATTTCCTTTATTACATAACGAATTTTAATCTCAATTACGAGGGGCACTATTTATATTTTGAGCCTAATAATAAAAAAACAGTAATTTGTCATTGAAAATGACTTCTGTCTTGATAATCCACGTCGAAAGTCGTAATAAATCATCACGAAAATTTTCACGAGTTAATTCCATTTTTTCGCTGAGACACAATTTTCAAGTGACTAAACAATACAAGTCGCGTTCAAATAACAAAACGTTCTGAAGAAGGTTATGGTAAAAAATGTCAAACTTTCTAGTGAAAACGTCAGATGGCACCTGATAACACTCAGTGTTGCCAAGGCTCAAAATATAAGTAGTGCCCCTCGTAAAATGAAAAGTAAAATCTACATATAATACATTGTACGTATGTTATTAAAATATAATAGTTTTGACAGAAAATTTATTAACAGCTTGATCTTTGGAACATTGTAATTGCTATTTTCATATAAATCATTATTTCGTACAAATAAAGAATGAATGTATTGATACTTGTGTGAATGTTCTGTGTGAAATTGTTATTTGTGAAGGTATGGTACGTTGTTATTGGCGACAACTGGTGCTCCATAGTTCCCGATTCATGGGTTTTTGCAAGTGAGTCGATGATTTGGTGGCCACCGAAAGGTATCAGTGTCACTATAGCACTATCAAAGAAAATGCAACCATTTTTTTTTGGTAAGGCGGGAGAAATGCGTTACACATACCCCGGTTATGCGGGAACGTAACCGGGGTTATGTGGGACTTCGCTCTACTCAGTGGGGGTATACCCACTAAAACTCCCACCGGTGCCTATCCTCAGGTCAAATGGGGGCGCCTCGGGGACACGTGCAGCATTCTTCCGAGACGTCCCTCGACTCTGTTGGCCCGACGCTAGCCTTAGGGGAGCAGGGGGGAGACCACCGGTCGAAGTGAGCTGACCGATGGGCCCCCTCCTCGCACGATCCCAACCTCAAATGGAGCATTCCAGCGAGCACTCAAGGCGCGCGCGGTCGATGGAGTGGGGCGTTGGCAAGGGGACTAAGGGGGCTATAATAGCTCCCTGTC